GTGTGGGTTGATGTGGATAAGACGGATCAGTGTGTGTGTGTGTGTGTGTGTGTGTGTGTGTGTGTGTGCCAGTGATGTCGTTATGTGGTGCTGATGTCAATTATGTGGATTGGTGCCAGTGGTGTCAGTATGTAGGGGTGAGTGTCAGGATGTGGGATGGTGTCTGTTGTCAATATGTAGGATGGTGTCTGTTGTCAATATGTAGGATGGTGTCTGTTGTCAATAATGGGATGGTGTCTGTTGTCAATATGTGGGATGGTGTCAGTGTTGTCAATATGTGGGATGGTGTCAGTGTTGTCAATAGGTGTTCATATATAAGACGGTGGTGCAGTATAGAATTTCCTCTCTCTCTTCCCTCTGCTGGTAATCACGCAAGACTGGACAGCTATGTGGGTGGTGTGTGAGAGAGAAGGAAGAGAAGAAAGGGAGAGATAGGTGGAGGAGAAGAAAGGAAGATTAAAGGAGGAAGGGAGAGATAGAGGAAGACAGTGAGAGTATGGAAGAGGGATGGAGAATAATTAAATTGTGAAGAAGAGAGGAGATGGGGTGCGGGGATGATAGAAGAAGAGGCAAGATGAAGAGGAAGAGAAGGAAAAAAGAAGAGGAGAAAGGAAAGAAGAAGAGGAGGGAGTCATCGTCGTAGTAACCAGCATCCCCCCCCCCTTTATAGGTCAACAAGGCTGTTTCCTCTGACAATATTTCCTGACGTTTAAGTTAAACTCATTTCCTGGCAGCTCTCTATGACTGGACCCTATTACATGAACGACCTGCTGACCTTCCGTTATCATTGTCGTCGTCTTCGTGGTGTAGTCATCGTCGTGATGTGGTCCTGAACGTGGTTTTGGAGGTCCTGATAGTGGTCTTAAAGTCTTCGTCGTGGTCCTCCTCATAGTGGCGTTGGAGCTTTAATTTTTGGGGCGGCGTCTTGTTAATGTGACCAGTGCGGAATTACAAGGACAGGTCAGCCATTACTGGGGATTTATTCTCACCACCAGACTATATTTTACTGTTGTACTGAAACACTAGTAGGAGGACACACACACACACACACACACACACACACACACACACACACACACACACACACACACCTACCCCTCCCCTACTATACCCCCACACCCCAATACTTCCCCCTACACCCCAATACACCCTACCCCCCACTACACCCCCCTACACACATGAAGCAATAAGGACACATGAACCGTCTTATAACTGAGAGGTCTTGAGTACGAGTCTTAGCAGGAATAGAAGTTGGTCTGCTCCGTTAGCCTCTGTGTACCCGCCGCTGATTGGTTACTTGATTGTAAATTGATTGGTTGAGGGTTCTGGGGAAGGTGGTTTGGGTAGCCAGTGTGGTTGAGTCTTCGTGGTGGTAGTGTTGGCAGCGTCTAGTACATCCCTGACACCAGTTGGTTGATGGTGTGGTGGTAGTGTTGGCAGCAGTTAACTAATGATGTGGTGGTAATGTTGTCACCATCCTTGCGTCATCGTCCTCGTCGCCTCCTTCTTCGTCGTCCGGTTAAGATTTTTTGCTCCTAACTCAGTTATCTTAACCGGACAGAAACGTTAACAACAACAAACGTTTGAGGGGGTAGACAGAGGACCTTGCCCCCTCCCTCCTCTCCTTCCCTCTTCCCTCCCTCTCCTTCTCTACCTCCCCCTCCTCCCTCCCCTCCTCTCCTTCCTCTACCCCCTCCCCTCCTCCCCTCCCTCCGCTCCCTCCCTCCTCCCCTCCTCCTCCCCACCTCCCCTCCACCTCCTCACTTCCCCTCCCTTCCTTCCCCCTCACCATAACTAGGTCTTAATAGTGAGTATGGCCCTCCTTCCTACCCCTTCCCCCAGAACAACGTGTGGGCGCTACTTAAGTTTTCGTGTGTCCAAGAAATGTCCTTAACCCTCCTCTTCTCCTCTCAGAAATTTGTCTTGTGTGTGTGTGTGTGTGTGTGTGTGTGTGTGTGTGTGTGTGTGTGTGTGTGTGTGTGTGTGTGTGTGTGTGTGTGTGTGTGTGTGTGTGTGTGTGTGTGTGTGTGTGTGTGTGTGTGTGTGTGTGTGTGTGTGTGTGTGTGTGTGTGTGTGTGTGTGTGTGTGTGTGTGTGTGTGTGTGTGTGTGTGTGTGTGTGTGTGTGTGTGTGTGTGTGTGTGTGTGTGTGTGTGTGTGTGTGTGTGTGTGCGCCGCACGTGACGAAGTCACAGATAGCGTGGGTGAGCGAGGAAGGGTGGTAATGCCTTCTCACCTGTCCCCCGGTGATGATTACAGGTGATATCGACAGGTAAGGGAAGATATTTGTTACTAATTAACTTATTGTGTCTCGTCTCTCCTCAACACCCCACTTAGTTCACCTGATTAACGGCTTGGTGAAGAATTGTTTGTTTACTTATGTTTTAGGGTAGGGGGTGGGGGTGGGGAGGGGTGAGGTAGGTAGGGAGTTTGCTGCTGGAGTGGTAGATTAGGTTAGATGGTCAGATGTGTATGTAGAGAAATTATATTAACTGGAGTGAGAACGAGGAGACCTCCAGTGAGAGAGAAGGAATGAGTGAGAGAGGAGGTTGGTGGTATTGACTATTGACAGCTGATGCTCCCAATAATGCAGCCGCGGAAGGAGTTGCACACCTGCAGTGATTCCTTCCCCGTTATTGCGCCGTGATTGTGTATGTCATTATACCCCACGACGCTGGTAGGAGGAGGAAGAGTGGTTAATGTGATTGTATCAGGGAGACCGCCTCGTCCAGGTGATTGCGTGATTGACTTGATATTACGGGGGACATTCTCTCTCCCGTTTGTGCGTGAGATAGAAATTAACTAAGAATCACGCCAGAGAAAATATCCGGAGTATTTTCTTAAAAGGGTAACAGTGGGAGATGGAAGGAGGAGGAAGAGGAGGAAGAAGGAGAAGGAGGAGGAGGTGAAGGTGAGAGAGAATTAAGGCTTTACGTTCTGTTGGTCGAACCTGACGATACAAAACAGGGGATTAAGACTGTTTCTTGCCCCCCGACACTCTCTCCTCCCTATCGTCCCCTTCCTCCCTACACTCCCCCACTCCCCTCTACCTCCCCTCCTCACTCCCCCCTACACTCCCCCTACCCCCTACCTCCCCACACTCCCCTACACTCCCCTACACTCCCCCCTACCTCCCCTACACCCCCCTACCCTTCCCCTGCCCCTACTCTGCCCCCCTACCTCCCCCTACACCCCCTACTCTCCCCTTACCTCCCCTACCTTCCCCCCTACCTCCCCCTACTCTCCCCTCTCTCCCCCCATCTCCCCCCCACTCCCCTGCCCCTACACTCCCCATACCTCCCCTACCTCCCCCTACCTCCCCCCCTACACTCCTACCTCCCCCCCTACCTCCCCCCTACACTCCCCTACACTCCCCCCTACCTCCCCCCTACACTCCCCCCCTATACACACACCATTATACATCTTCACAAATTTATACATCTCCTTTTACTCTCTCTCCCACACAAACATATCTATATATTAAAAACAAATATTTGTGTGTTGTGTTGGATTTATTTTTTATGTTGCTTGTTGTTGTATTACATTTGTTTGTGTTATGTTACTTATGTTGTGTTTTGTTATGCTACGTTGTTGTGTGTTGCGCTTTATGATGTTGCATTGTGTTGTGTTGTTTGAGTGCTGTGTTACGTTGTGTTGTGTTGCGCTGGAGTGTTGTGTGTTATGTACTTCCACAGTTATGAGGATAGAAGGCTGTGATTGGGCCAGAGGATGTGGTGTGGTGACGCGTACACCAGGTGAGTAACCCGGGTAACTCACCTGGTGTACGCGTCACTCTCCTCCCATAGTGGCTTGTTAACTCGCCTCATTACCTCAGACAGGGTAACGTAAGGGTCATGTATGTAGGAAGAGAAACAGACAGACAGACAGAACTATATTAGACAGACAGAACTATATCAGACAGACAGCTTCTATAGTACGTGGCTCTTTTAGTGTAATAAATCATTTGCATTATTTCAAGATCAATATTGTAATCGAGTAAAATTATTATCAGCTGAGTTTGTTGATAAAAATATTAGCTCACTCTCTCTCTCTCGATCACGATTGTCCTTGAATAAATTAAGACAACTACAAATTTGTTCTTGTTTAATGGTTACGTGGCATGAGACTGTCTTGCCCCACCACACCAGCTTTTGTCTTCACTAGTTTAGTTCTTTAAATCTTTTGTGATCAGAGTTTTATGCAAATGCTAAAAGCTGAAACTTTTACGAATATTTTTCCAGAGCTGTGTCTTTTTTTTTCTTCTTCTTCCCAGAATCTTAGACTCGTTAGGGTCGACTTAAAAAAAATATATATATATTTTTAGGGAAGTCTATTGGGGTGGTCTTGAGGGGTTGTTGGGATGGTCTTGGGGTTTTGTTGGGATGGTCTTAGGGCTAGGATGGTAGTCTTGGGGGCTTGGATGGTTGTCTGAAGGGGTCAAGGGATTGTAGTCTGGGGATGATGATGGTGATGTGGGGGGTCTGGGGCTGATCTTGGGGTGGTCCGGGGCTGATCTTGGGGATGGTAGTGGGTGGTCCTGGTGGGTGGTAGTGTGGGGGTGGTCCTGGTGGGTAGTGTGGGTGTGGTCCTGTGGTGGTGTGGGGTGGTCCTGGTGGGTGGTGTGGGTGTGGTCCTGGTGGGTGGGTAGTGGGGGGTGGTCTCGTGGGTGGTAGTGTGGTGTGGTCCTGGTGGGTGGGTAGTGTGTGGGGTGGTCCGTGGGTGGGTAGTGTGGGGTGGTCCTGGTGGGTGGTAGTGTAGGGGTGGTCCTGGTGGGTGGTAGTGGGTGTGGTCCCTGTTGGGTGGTAGTGGGGGGTGGTCCTGGTGGGTGGTAGTAGGGGTGGTCCGTGGGTGGTAGTGTGGGGGGTGGTCCTGGTGGGTGGTAGTGTGGGAGTGTGGGGGGAGAGATCTGAACAAACAAGGGAATCTCATTTTAAACCTTGGAGTGTGTGCAGGTTGGGGTAATCTCCATAATGGGATTGCTAAATTGTCCCTAATTATATAGGCAGCAGCTTTAACTCTCGGGGGAGCCAAATTTGCTATTGAAGCAGATCCGTCATTAGGAAGATGTGGGTGGGAGCGAGACTTGTTTCCCTCCCCTTTTCCCCTCCTTTTCCAATTGTTTCTCTCTTTTCTCCCCAACTCTCCCCACTTCTCTCTCTTCTCCCAACTCTTCCTTTTCTTCCCAGCCCTTCCCTCTGCCCCCTCCAATCGTTTCTCCTCTCTCCCCACACCAGCCTTTTCCTTTCCCTTCCCAGCCGTTCCCTCCCTCTCTCCACCCCAACCACCCTCTCACTCTCTCCTCCCCACCAGTTCCCTCCTCCTTTCCCTTCCCCAGCCGTTCCCTCCCTCTCTCCCTTCCCAACCCTTCCCTCTCTTCTCCCCAACCCTTCCCTCTGCCCTCTCCAACAGTTTCATCCCCACCCCAGTCATTCCCTCTCTCTCTCCCCAACCCATCCCTCTCTCCTTCCAGTCCTTCCTTCTCCCTGCCCTATCCACTGTCTCCACCCCTCCCTCCCCAATCATTCTCTGTCCCTCCCAAATCCTCCCTCTCCTCCCCAACCCTTCCTCTATCCTCCCAACTCTTATCTCTCCCCTCCAACCCCTACCCATTCCTCCCCAACCTTTCTTCTCTCTTCTCTTTCCTCCCCTCTCCAATCCTCCTCATCCTTTCACCTCCCCTCCTCTGCCCTAATCCCTCCCTCCCATTTTCCTTCTCCCTCCCAACCCTTCCTCTCTCCTCCTCCCAACCCTTCCCTTTCCTCCCCAACCCCTCTCCTCCCCAACCCTTCCGTCTCTTCCCCAACCCTTCCCTTTCCTCCCCAACCCTTCCGTCTCTTCCCCAACCCTTCCCTTCCTCCCCAACCCTTCCGTCTCTTTCCCCACCCTTCCTTCTCCCAACCCTTCCTTCTCTCCTCCCCACCCTTCCTTTTCCTCCCCAACCCTCCTCCCAACCCTTCCGTCTCTTCCCAACCCTTCCCCTCTCCCCTTCCCGCTTAGGCTGTGGATGTCTCGACGCTGATTGATAATCCCATTTTGAAGGAACTGAGTAGGAAAAAGGGGAGAGGGAGTTTGGAAGGAGGAAGAGGAGGAAAGGAAGTGGAAGAGGGATTGGCGAGAGAAAGGAGGAGGGAATTGGGGAAGAGGTGATTAGTGGATAAGAAGCAGCTGAAGATAAGGAAGGAGAAAGAGATGAGGAGGAAGGAAGAAGAGGAGGAAAGTCTGGTGGAAGAGGGAGGAAGAGAAGTAAAGACTGGTGGAAGAGGAAAATTAAAGACAAACGGGAGATGGAAGAGGAGGAGGAAAGGTTGATAAGGAGGTAGAGAAGGAGTAAACTGATGGGGAAGGATGAAGGAAGAGGAGAAGTAGAGGCTGATAAGAAAAGAAAGGAAGGAAGAGGAGAAGGAAGAGTGAAGGCTGATGGGAGAGGCGTACTAGGAGGGTGAAGAAGAAGAAGAAGAAGAAGAAGAAGAAGAAGAAGAAGAAGAAGAAGAAGAAGAAGAAGAAGAAGAAGAAGAAGAAGAAGAAGAAGAAGAAGAAGAAGAAGAAGAAGAAGAAGAAGAAGAAGAAGAAGAAGAAGAAGAAGAAGAAGAAGAAGAAGAAGAAGAAGAAGAAGAAGAAGAAGAAGAAGAAGAAGAAGAAGAAGAAGAAGAAGAAGAAGAATCATGAGAAGGTGTGATAATGGAAATGAAAGAAGGTAGAACAAGGGAGTAGAGAGGTAAAGGGGATAAAACCACGAGAGGGGGGGATAAAAGGAAGGACGAAGGAGAGGGATAATGGGGAGATAAAGACGAAAAGGAATGATAATGGGAGGAAGGAAGATGACTAAGAAAGAGTGGTAAAGGTAAGGCAGAGAAAGAGAGAGAGAGAGAGAGAGAGAGAGAGAGATCAGAAAAGATAAGAAATCGAATAAAAACAAAAAATCCTCTACAGTAGATTGAGAATAATACAGAAATCAAAGGATAGAATAAAAAAGATGGAACTACAAGAAGGAATAGGATAATAAAGAAGAATAGGGAGAATATGATAAAAAAATCCTAAGTACAAAAGAGAAGAGGTAACTTGAAAGACGTGGATAAATTGAGAAAGGGGGTGACATGTATAGAGAAGAAGGATAGAGTAAATGGAAATGGAGAAACTGGAGATGAAAGAAAATGTGGGTAAAAGAGTAGAAGCAGTGAGGGTTGGAGAAGAAGAAGAAGAGGAAGAAGGAGAAAAAGAAGAAGAAAGTAAATTTGGAGGAACTGGAGATGAAAGAGAAAATGTGGATGAACGAATGGAAGCAATGGAGGTGAAAGAAGAAGAAGAAGAAGAACCAGAAAAAGACAAGAAGAACAATAATAAGAAGAGGGCAAGGAACAATCCCAAGAGATGCGAACAGAAAGGTACGGCGTAAGGAAGGAAAGAAGGAAGGAAGGAAGGAAGGAAGGAAGGAAGGAAGGAAGGAAAGTAAGTAAGTTTGGTGGTAGCTGCAACAATATTCACACACACCATCACTTAACCACCGAGCTCTTCCCTCTCTCAGTGCCCGGACCACCTGCAGTACAACACCAGAGTGGAAAGTGATAACCAATTTTTCTTACAAAGCAGCGTACCTTTTGGGGGTCTTTCTACGCTCACCAGGACCAAGCAAGACCCATTAGAACCCAGCAGGACCCACCAGAACCCAGCAGGACCAAGCAGATGTTAGCAGGACCCACCAGAATCCACCTGGAGCAAACAATCTATGGTTCTTTTGGAATGCTCAGAAATTTGTGTGTGTGTGTGTGTGTGTTTCTTGAGTCATCCAGGGATTTCAGGGCAGGATTTTGTTTCATTAGTCATCCAGTGGTTCCAGGCTTTTGTTTCTCGAGTCATCCAGTGGTTCCAGGCTTTTGTTTCTCGAGTCATCCAGGGGTTCCAGATTCTTACTGACAAAACTGGAACTTTGTTTTTCTTGGTCGATTATTCAGTCCCTCTGAGTTACTGCCAACACTGATAGAACTCTTGTCCTTCTGAGCCACCCAAGGGTACGCTACAGACTTTTTTTTACATGATTTTTGTATTTTCTTTTCAACCTTCGAGTTTTCCCGGATGTGTCTGTTATTGGTTCTGAAAATCTGTGGTATTCCTTCCTTCCAAAACCACCACCCCACCACAACTACTACCACCATTACTGCCACCACCACCACTACACTCGTTGCTTTTGATTGTATCGTCGGTGAGTGAGTTTCCAGCGTTGAGGGTGCTGGAACTCCCCCGGTTACTGTGTCCTTCAAATAACGTGTCACTGGTTTTGCGATACATATTCTGGGAGCCTTCCAGCACCCGGGATTCTTCGACTCTCCCGTAATAAAATCTTCACTGCTGCTCTCTCTTCTTTTTTCCATCAGCCGTAAGCGTTCAGAGGTCACTGGAAGTTCTGCTTCGTTGTATCATTTCAGTGTTGTTGTCTGGCTCCTTTACACCATCCATTCAAACCGCCACCCCAGCTTCTCTCACCTGGTTCCGACATTTGATTACGAAAAAAATTAAATAAATAAATAACTGTGTTTAAGACCAACAGGAAGCGAGTAATTAGCGGGTGAAAACGTGTGAAATTACTTCGAGGGTTATTAGCAAGACTAATTACCCGACTTGCAATCTTTTTTTTGTCACTCTGGAACCTTAATCAGCTTGTTGACGGGTATCTGTGTTGATATTTTTGGCGAGACCGAAAAAGACGCAAAATTAGGAACGTAATGCGGATTTATTATTGGTGGCGGTGGGGGGAGGCGGAGTGAAGAGGGGGGGGGGACTTAAGAGATATTACCTTTTCTGCTGCTACTTGTGTTTATTTTATTGCTGTTCCTGTATATCACTTGCTGTTACTTTCACATCTGGCACTGTTCCGTTCTTCTGTTTCTGCTGCCCATAGAACCACACCTATAAACACTGATGCTATTAATTCTACACATTTTGTAGTGGCCGTAAATGTTGATAGAGCTCCCTTCGTTCTGGTACCTTCCCCTCTCACCCTCTCCTACATTGCTGCCTCAGACCAGAACACAGTGTGACATTGTGTCCCGTTGGCCCTCCCTGTTGCTGCTCCCTGGAGGACGGACGGATTATTGGAGGTTATTGTTGTGTAAGCCAAGGTTAATCCGGCGGTTAATGGTCATCATCAGGATTCAGTAGGTGAGGATACAAGGCGGTCTGGGCCCATCGGTCTTGGCCTATATTGAATTCGGCCTATCGGTCTCGACCCATACTGACTGGGGTCCATATTGATTTCGGCTCTTTGAAATGTGGCCCTATATTCAGCTAAGAGGGATACTGTGGCCGAGTGGATACAGCACTCGTCTTCCGTCCTCAGGGTCGTTGGTTCGCACCCATGGCACCTCCTAGTCCACCCAGCTGTACATGGGTTGGTTGATTATAGTACTATAGGATGTTTTAGCAAAGTATATCGTGGTAAAGCTAACTCATGTGCTTATTGGTTGCTTATAGCTTTATTTGTTTCTATTGTTACTGTGTTTGTGTGTTAAGTAAAGCTTTATGGATACAGCTTTGTAAATAGACGAAGCAGAGAATAACAAACCGATTATATTATTATCATTTTTTACATTTTTACTTTTTTTTCGTTTCTTTTATTATTGTCTTTCCTTTCATTGTTATTATTCTGTTTATTTTAATTTATTTTAATCTTTTCTTCTGGTTTAATGGTTTTCTGCGTCCTGGGAGAGCTGTAGGTGACTCCTGAAGACTTGGTTTAATATTCAACTTGGTTTAATATTCATAGACTGAGAGTTAACTTTGTGTTCTTGTCTCCATCTTATCACTATCACCACCACTACTCCACAACCACCAATACTACCACCATTCTACAACCTTCACTACCACCAACCATTCCACAACTACCATCATTGCCATCATTCCACAACCATCATCACCACCACCATCACTGCCACCATTCCACAACCACCCTCATTACCATCCCATCCAACACCCCATTAACCAACACGATTTCCCCTCCCATCCAGTCACCCCATTTTCCCACATTACCTTCCCATCCCTCCCATCCTCCCATCCTTTCCTCACGCTCCTCACCCCCCCACTCTCTCTCCAATTCTCTAACCCCTCCCTGCTCCCACCTGCCACATTCTTCCTCACCCACTTCAACCCTCTCCTCACACCATCTCTTCTCGCCCCCTAATTCTCTCCCACCTCCCTTAAAGTGATATTGGGTCTCTTCCTCAACACCTTCCCACCAGGTAAAAAGTGTACAGGTGTGTTTTAGGGTTCAATTATAAGCGTCACCTTACGTTATTCGGTTAACTTTTGTTACTGGTCAGGAATGATGATGATGATGATGAGATGATGATGAGCCCTCAACCCTCAGCCCAACCCAACATGCAAACTACCCAATTGTATCTCATAGAGGTGAAATTAAACCTCACCTGTTTTCATTTTAAAATGCATGATTTGCAAATTCTCATTACAGTACAGGTGTGTTACAACTTGCTCCCAATTGGCGCTGCAGTAACTCAGAAAGAAAAGAGGTTGTTATATCACAACAGATGGCAATACCGTGTGTGCTGTGTATAATTTTAGGTAAAGTGTTGTGTGTGTTTCAGGTGTATGTTGTCTATGTTTCAGGTGTATATGCGTTGTAGAAATAGTTAGAAAATAGTATATAGTGACGTAGGAGGAGGAAATGTGCTCGTAAGGTAGAGATAAATATAGACTCAATTATGTATCTCTAGAACTACAGGGTGTCCATAAATGATTACCCTAAACACAGTATGCTATCATGTTTTAATCAGGGTAATCATTTTTGGACACTCTGTATGTCTTGTTGAAGGCTTTATCCCCACACTAATGCTACTTTGTAAGTGAAATAGGGGAAGTGGAGGCTGTGGGTGGGGAGGTTAGTGGGGTGGGATGGGGTGAGGGAGGTGAGGAGGGGGTGAGGGGTGGGGTGGGGTGGGGAGGAAGGCAAGGGAAGTGGAGAGGGGAGGTGGGGGGGTAAGATGTATGGAGGGAGGTGAGGGGAAGGAGGTCAGGTGGGGAGTAAGGTGGGGGAAGGAGGTGTGAGGGGTGGGGAGAGGCATGGGGAGGTGAGGATAGGTAAGGTAGGCAGGAGGTGGAGGGCAGCAGTATCTGTAAGCACACAACATTCATGATCAGAGCCTCTGCCTCGCTGTGTATTTTCCCGGCTCCGCTACACCACACACACTCACCCGCCGGAAACTCTGGTATATGGTGGCATTTGTTGAATATGCCTCGGGAGTGGCCCACTTGCCCGACCTGCACTCAGTAAACTCAATGAGTGGCCCGCCGGGAGAAGGGGGGCGTTAGTTCAGTATGCTTCTTGAGGGGCACACTTTTCTTTCTAAGCGTTTGCTTATTGTGCTGACTGAGTGGTCCGCTAAGGGAATGGAAGAATTTGCTCAATATGCTCCCGGAGAGGCCCACACGACAGCCATACTTCAATATGCTCATTAAGGGGCCCACTTACATCAGGAGAGCTTTTGTTCCTTATGTTCCTTGAGTGGCCCTCTTAATATGATATGTTCATTGAATAGATCTTTGTATGGGTTGTTGTGTTACAATCATTGAGTAGCTCTATCAGGAGGGCTTGGTTATTAGGCTCACTGAGTGGCTCCCAGGGACCTGTGTTCAATATGTTCACTGAGTGGCACTCTGTGATGGTTTGTTTTCAATAAGGTTAGATAGCGGGCAGCATGGCGGCGTGTGTTGTAAAGTGTCCGCCTCCTTGTATATGGCTAATATAGCCCATGAAATGACCCAGTGTGTGGCCACTGTGCTTATTGAGTGGTCCATATTGTAGTTTGGCCGAATGCTCATATTGGCCCATTTGGTAATATGTATCACTATGATCATGTGGTGGCCCCCTTGGTAATGTGCAATCAGTATGCTCCAAGAGTGGCCCACACCCTAATATGTATTCAGTATGCTCCTGAAGTGGCCCATTTGGCAATGTGCGCACACAGTGCTTGTCCGCTTGGCAACAAGTTCATTATGCTAATGGAGTGGCCCACGTGGCGACATGCAATCAATATGCTCCTGGAGTGGCCCACTTTACATATAAACCTGTCTTGTAATGCCCAGTACACCGAGTATTACAATCCAGGTTTCTCTGTAAAGTGGGCCACTGGATGAGCATAACCACTGGCACCAGTACCTCGTTTCCTTTACTGTGTCACCTATTGGCAGGCTCCCAGCTGTTGTCTGCCAAGGTGGTTGTAATGCACGTTAGTTATGGGTTGTCTTGGGGTAATTACTTCAGGATAATTACGTGAGAAGCTAATAATAAACAGTTATATATGTAGAAGTTGTAGGGATATAGATATAGTTGTAAGTAGCTTTAGGTTATATAGTTTGGGTTAGCTTTAGGCTAGCTTAATTTAGCTTTAGGTTATTAATCTTTAGGTGAAGTAAGCTGTGGACTAGTCGTGAGGTGATCAGAATAATGGAAGTATATACAGAGGTCTGTGTTGTAAGAGAGGAAGGAGGCTCACTCACCCGTGTGTGTGATGGTGGGAAGGTTGCCATGTGCGGGTGGTACTACCTGCTGACCCCACACCTGCTGACCCCGCACCGGCTGACCCCACACACCTGCTGACCTCACACCTGACCCCACACTTGCTGGATCTTAGTGACCTTCACCTTCTGAACTTCTTGACCTTTGTAAGCCTACACAACACCTGCTGCACTTGGTGACACCACACCTGCAGATTTCAATGATTCACACAACTGCTAAACCCACACCTGCTGATCATTCACACACTTACAGACCTGACTAAAACGCCCACACACACACACACACACACACACGTACACACACACACACACACACGCACAGTCAGGACTATATTTTTTGTTTATCTTATGTTGTGGGGAATTTACCTCACTACTTTAGGGAAAAAAATCAAAAACTTTTTTCCCCCAAATGTGAGAGATTAGTTTGGAACCTTTCTTTTTCCCTTCCGTGTTGACACAATAGTATGGGTAGTGTTTTGCCGGAAATAAATTCTGTGGGGGAGGAGTCACTAAATTATCGGAACTCCAAAAGCGGAATTTTTCATGTTGAAGGTTAGGTTAGGTTAGGTTAGGGATTGGTTAGGTTAGGGATTGGTTAGGTTAGGTTAGGGATTGGTTAGGGATTGGTTAGGTTAGGGATTGGTTAGGTTAGGTTAGGGATTGGTTAGGTTAGGTTAGGGATTGGTTAGGTTAGGTTAGGTATTGGTTAGGTTAGTTATTGGTTAGGTTAGGTTAGGTATTGGTTAGGTTAGGTTTAGAATTGGTTAGATTAGGGGTAGGTTAGGTTAAGGGGTTTGTTTAGTTTGGGACCGGTTGGGTTAGGTTATTGTTAGGTAGGGATGACTTACGGATGGGTTAAGATAGGTTAGGTTAAGTTAGATCGTTACGGTAGGTTAAGGTGATTTAGGGATGAGTTAGGTTAGGGATATGTTAGGGTGTTAAGTCATCAGGTGAAATAAACTAGGGGTGTTAATCTTCAGGTGAGTCTCCTGGGTAAAGGAACCTCTGATATCCTTCAGCTGTTTGACCCCACCTGTTAAAGTAACGCCAAAAACACCTGCATAAACACATGTCAAAAACTTTTCAAAATCACTTATCACAAACACCTGTCCAAAAATACGTGTAAAAAGTATCTGTAAAACACCTGTCAAAAAATACTTCTCCAAAATACCTGTCTAAAAACACCTATTTAAAAACATATAAAAAAACACCTGTAAAACACTTGTCAATAAAAAATACCTGTCCAAAAACACGTCTAAAAACACCTGTCAAAAATTGTTCGACAAATGGCCAGTCCTGATATATTATAACAGTAGAGCCGCGAGAGATAGAGATTTTATTATTTGTGTAATTATTTATATGTTTTTTAATGAAGCTTTTTGACATTTAATCATATATATTTTAATTATAGTTACTTTATTTCGTGTTAATCAGGTAATTATATAGTTAATCAGATTTTTATATGTTAAAATTTAAATATTCTTTTTAATCTGACATCTATTTGAATCAGATTTTTTTTAGCGTCTCAGATTTTGTCTTGGTATTATCGAGGATTTTGTCGTGTTGTTATTCACCTCTCTCTCTCTCTCTCTCTCTCTCTCTCTCTCTCTCATGATTAATGGTTAACGACTACGACTGTTGTTATTGTTATCGTGTCACAACTTTCCTTCGTCGACGATATCTGTCTGTCTGTCTTTGTATGTCTGTTTGTCTGTCCATATTGCACTGTATCATATCTTTGTCTGTCTGTCTGTCTCTTTAATTACCAGGCTCTCTCATGTCTGTCTGTCTGTCTGTCTGTCACTATCACTGTCTGTTTAACTGTCCTACTCTTTCATATATATTTCTGTCTGTCTGTCTGTCTGTCTATGAGCATTATGAGCTTTCACATCCTCTGTCTAATTGTCATGTCTGTCTCTTTATCTGCACCTGTCTCTCCAGCCTGTCTCTTTATTATCTGTCTCTTGAGGTTTAATTAATGTCTCCCGTGGTCTCTGTTAGATTGTGAGAGACAGTTGTTAAGAATCTGCCTGTTCTATCTCCCCTTATCTCTCTCTCTCTCTCTCTCTCTCTCACAGTAGCCCAGTCAGCGTTCCAGCATTGATTATTCCCAGTATGAACGACGTCGTAGCTTCATCCAGCTCTTTTATTCCCAGTAAATTTACCGTCATTGCAGTGAGTTTATTTTTTTTTTCTCGTAAACGATTCAGTGCTCCACCATTTACAAGTTTTGTTTACAGGCTATTTACGCTAACCATTTACAGTATTTTATTTCGTGATTTGTGGTTATTGCATTCACCATTTACTGTTGTTTATTCGTGATTTACAACTCTCTCACTTGAAGGTTTAATTTGGTGATTTACAGTGTTTCCTACCAATCATTTACACCTTTTATTTCGCGATTTACAGCGATTTCATTAAATTTGTACGTTCATTTTTTTTACGACATCTCACATCACTTACGCCTTCTGTTTCATGATTTACAATTTTTTTTCACTCGACATTTACAACCATTTTTACGTACTTTTCGTGATTTTTGTTTTTGCACGCACTCTTTGCAAATTTTTTTTACAAACATTTCCTCATTTACGGGTTTTGTATTCAACATTTACACTTTCATTTACAATTCTTTCCTCATTTACGGGTTTCATAGTCAACATTTACGTTTTTTTTTTTTACATATTTTTTTATGCTTTTTTACGAACCTTGCTGGCCCGCCTGACGTTACCTCCCCTAATGCTCTTATGTCAGCTTGTACGATCAAAAGCAAGAGGCAAAATGTCTTGACTGAAGAAGCCATTATTCTGTGTAATTGCATGATGTCTTGGTTAAGTGACTTTTTTATGTCTGGAGCGCGTGGGGAGAGTGAGTGTGTGTTAGGAAGGAGAGTGGGTGGAGGAGTGGGTGGAGGTTGGGTTTGAGTAAGGAGGGGAGTGATGAAGAGTGTGTGTGTGTGTGTGTGTGTGTGTGTGTGTGTGTGTGTAATAATAAATAAATAATAATAATTAACGGTTTATTGAAAGAGCATGGCAGCCAGAAGGCTGAAAATATACAGTTACATAACTGGGGAATGGGTCACTTGATTTACAAATAATATACAAGTTACATAAGTGATACAAATATGATATATAATGACTAGGTGGGGAGAAGCTCAAACGACAGGGCATCTCAACATAGTGACAGTGCAGAAAGGAAAGATTGACCTGGAGTGAATACACTGGTTGATACAAGTTGTTGATATTTTTTACAATGGTTGGGACTGGGCTGTTCTTATAGCGATCAGTACGTGATCGTATGTAATAATGATGATAATAATAATAATTAACGGTTTATTGAAAAAATTCTGCGGCCCGAAGGCTGAAAATATACATTGGACATAAATGACTTATTACATACATTGGTGGTTTAACAAAAGCCTTCATTAGAGAAAGGTAAAGGAACATACAGTGAACATACAGATTAATGTAGGTGTTGAACAGCAAACTCGTAGTGTAGTAACTCCCTCCCAGATGGTGTTAGGAGGAACTCACGTGGTGTAGTAGTTCCCTTAGATGGTGTTATGAGGGACCTGGCGTGGTGTAGTAATTCCCTCACAGATGGTGTGATGAGGGACTTGACGTGGTGTAGTAATTCCCTCACATATGGTGTTTTGAGGGACTTGACGTGGTGTAGTAATTCCCTCACAGATGGTGTTATATGAGTGAGGTTTGGTCTTAGGCCTTCCTAGCGTAGACGGATTAACACATCGCTGGTTGTTGTTGGGTCTCACGGGCCGTTATCACTGGGTACCTGGGACAACACTGTGTGAAGGTTAACTTGGGTACGACTGTTACTGTTGAGTTGTTCTCACTGACTTAAGCACTGTTCACCACTGTTCACCTCTGTTTAACACTTTGTTCCGTTCCTTTCCTAAATGAAATAGTAACTTCTGGCGAAAACTTGTTGATATTCCGGTGGGGAGGAGGGTTCAGGGGAGGGGGTTGGTATGGGCCAACTTAACAGTTGACCTGGCTGCCCCCAGAGGAGCGCCAGGTACGTCTTGACCCTTCGGTGGTCGCGTGAGTGCGTGCGTGCGCCTTTGCATGCAGCTCTTCCTTACACACGTAATAGGCAGCTAACGACGCCAATACGTGACCAACAACCTCTAAAAATACCCCAGAGAGAGAGAGAGAGAGAGAGAGAGAGAGAGAGAGAGAGAGAGAGAGAGAGAGAGGAGAGAGATTTGTCCTATACACATGTAAGCTTTCTTCTTAAAGTGTCTTAAGTGAGGTTGTCAACATTTGAGGGGGGGGGCCATTGTGTGGTGTGAGGTGGCAGGTCGTTTGGTTGGTTGATTTATCACCTGAGTCTCACCTGCCACTGCATGTCTCACCTGGAGCCTCACCTGCCACCGTATGTTTCCCACCTGAGCCTCACCTGCCACTGCATAGCTCTGCACCTGAGCCTCACCTGCCACCGTATGTTTCACCTGGAGCCCACCTGCCACCGTATGTTTCCCCACCTGGCCTCACCTGCCACCGCATAAGCCCCACCTGGAGCCTCACCTGCCACTGTATAAGCTTCTGGCACCTGGAGCCTCACCTGCCACCGTATGTTTCACCTGGAGCCTCACCTGCCAC